GCGGGCGGCGGGGGAGAGGTGCCGCCGCGGGGCCGCTGTCGCCGCTGCCGGACGGCCGGGCGACTCCCACCGCCCCGCCACCGCCCGCCCCCGGCCGGCAGGGTCTGCCTCCCCGCCCCCGCTCTCCGCCCCTTCCCGGTCCCCGCTCCCCGGCGCCCGCTATCTCCAGTGCGGACCGTGAAGTTCCAGCCTCCTCTCCCGCCTCCTCTCCGCCTCCGGCGCGTCCCGGAGCAGCCCCGCGGGTGACGGCGCTGGAAGGAAGGGGCCGAGGCGCAGAAGGGCGGTGAGTGAGGCCGGGCCGGGCCGGCTGGGATGAGGCGCGAGGACAGTGAGTGGGGACGCGGGCTCCGGACTCAGGTCGGACCCCAGCCGCCAGCCAATGAGGAGGCGGCGCACGCCCCGGTCCCGCGCCGGCCCCAGTCCCCTCGCGGCCCCAACCTCTTCACCCCGCCTAACCCCCTCCCACCGCGCCCCGGCCCGGGGCGGGGGCTGCGAACGCCGCCGGGTCTTACAGCGGGCGAGCGGCGACCTCTGCCTGAGCGCCGCGGCGGCGGATGAAAGGCTAGGGCGGCGATGCGCTGGAGCCGAGGGGGAGCGGGAGGAGGGGTGGGGTGTGGGCTGCACCCCCGCATCTGCATCGCGCAAGGGCCTGCGGGGGGGGGCGGACTTGAACACGGATTTCAACAACCTGCAGGGGAGGAGACGCTGAATTCAGCTGACCGCTCTTTTCAAAAGCGGAGCTGGCCGGCGCTCCCGGGTCTGCCCGCTGCGTCCCCGCCGCACTCGGTCCGCGGAGAGGCCCTGGCGCCCGGGAGTGGCCGAGCGTCTCTGCTCACCGAGGGGACAGCCACGTCGCCTAGAGTTCAGTCGCTCGCTTACCCCTGTTGGTCCACTCTGCCCAGTTCCTTCCCTCGCTTATAAACGCGCCCCCCCCCCATTATCTTGGCGACAGACTTCCTAAGTTCGAGTGAACTGGGCTTCCACGGGGAACGCAGCCATTCTGGGCTTTCCTTTTTCACGCTGGTGTTTGCTCGGTGAGCCGAGGCCCCAGGGGCCCAGCACTTTTAAAAAAAGTTTTAAAAAGCGTCTGTTAGGCGAGCTCTTGGGCCACCAACCCAGCCAATCTTACACGTTTTCAGATCTCATCCCAACGACATGAAAATGTTTTGTCCCAGCCTCCTGACTGCATGTGAAATGCCTCCTATTCAGTGTCTGCTCAGAGAGCCGGTAATTATCAGAGTCCACGCAAGAGGGGGTGAATTTCAACCTCAAAGGACCTGAGCTGGTTCTGTTTGAAGGGCATAGACACCACACATTCCAACTGCTGTCCAGCATTTGTTGAACTGAGAAGCACTGTAACCACTGTGCGTAAGCTGCACCTCCATATGAAATGGGGCGCTCACCACCCATCCAGCCCGCAACTCGGACAGTGCTGGCTCGCTACACTGACCCGTCCTGTTGCTCTTCAGTATATATTCAGAATCTTAGTTGTTTAAATTTCAGTATTCGCTTCATCTTCTGGTTTCATGGAAACGTTTAAACTTGGGGTGGAGGCTGTGTCCATTAGCTTGCAAGGGGGAGTGCCCCGAAGTTGCCAAAGTTAGTGACGCTTAAGATGCTCAGATTTTCCTGACCATATCAGGTAGCCCCGTCAGTCCAATTAAGAATATATGTGTACGCATTGCAGAAAGAGTTCATGTCAGTGCTCAGATCCGGGCGTTGCTGGTGGGTTCAGGGAAAGTTAGAAAGTCAGCTGAGTACAAAGCCTTTGCTTAAGAGCACCTCCTCCCACGGCAGCGCGGGGCGCCCCCAGCACCAGGCGGGCGGCGCGGGGCGACTCGACTCTGGGTCCTGGGAGGGAGCTTCCAGCCCTCAGGAGGGAGGGCCTTGCGGCGGGGGTAGCGCAGGAAGAGGCTAAGAGGGTTGACAGTAGAAAGAGGCCTGACAGGAGCGTGCCATTGCAATGTGACCTGGACTTGAGGCCGAACCTGACCTAGCCCAGGGGAACTTGGTGGTCCATCCAGAACCCAAAGAGTCTCTGAAGTCCAGACCAGTCGCTTTCCCGTCCTCCCCCCCCTTCCCCCCAAAGACCAGGAGTGATGGTGACAGAGGGCCAGCTGGCATTCATTTATCTCCTCGGGCTGGGGACAAGGCTTTAAAAGTTCGCCCTAAAAACAACGCACAGCCTACCATCCAGGAAAGCGCCAAAGCACTCCGCCTTGCTTTGAAGGACCAGTACAGGCTGACGCTCCGCTTGGGTAGCAGGGGACCCGAGGGGCACCAAAGGCGCGGGGGGTCTCAGGCGGAGAGAAACCCTCCTTCTCTGAGAGCCGCAGGCCTCCAGCTCCACGGAGAGACGCCTCCCCGGGGCCAGCGCCGTCCAGGTTCCCTCGGTGACCTCGAAACCCGGTCTGCGGTGAACCAGGCAGACGCGGCTCTTCCACTGGCGTTGGTTCTTGTCAGAGACCCCGGGGGTACACTTGACCTTCTCCTGGGTCGCTTCACAAGGGATTTAGGGGAGCAGCAGAGTGGCCAACCTGGGGCCGACGCACAGGGAGGGGCGGTCCCCGGTTTCCGACGCGGCGGCGCGCATCGCTGCGCTGCGGGCGCACCTGGCCCCGCCCTCTGAACTCCCCGTCCCGATCGCCCGCCGAGGTCCCCTGACCCTTTAGTTCTGCTCTGCAGCCCTCCGCCCATCCCCAGCGGGGACCCGCCGCCCTGTGACCTGGGATGGGCCGCAATGTCTCCCAGACACCGCCCCCCCCATCCCCAGTAGAGCTGGAGAGGAGGAGCCACCGTGGCGCCTCTGGTCGGTCACCTGGGGATGGAGCCAGGTGGCAGAGGCCGCAGTGTGAGCGGGAGGGGGCGCCGCTGCGATGGGAGGGGGACCGGGCCTGTGGCCTAGACGTGGAGGCCGCGGAGCTCTGGACTGACGGACAGAGACACCCACCCGCTTGGAATAAATGACGACACCCCCGCGGGCGGGCAGAGCCGCCGTCCTCTGCAGGGGACACGGCCTCCGCGTGGAGGCGCGCTCCGCAATCCACCGGCTGCGGGGGACGTGAGGCCGGAGCCGGGGACGCGGGGACACAGCCCGGCCTTAGCCGCTGTGGCGCCCTCAGTGTCCCTCCCTGCGCTCCTGCCAACTCCGGGCGAACGTCGCTCCCCTCTCCGCCGCGTCCCCCAGCTCCTCTCCGGCGAGGCGGGTCCCCTGGGCTCGTCCCGGCGGGTCCTGGCTGAGAGCGTTGATTGACGGCTGCAATGATAACAGCTGACGCCTCCGGGAGGCTCCCGCAGCCTTGATGCGCGTGGGAAGCCCGTCCTGGCGTGTTGGACGCGGGCTCAGCGTTGCGGGGCCGCGCCGGCTGCAGCCGGGGCCTCGCTCTGCGCTCCGCCAGGACCCGCTGCCAGGCTCCGCTCCCGCCGCCCCGCCCCTCGCTGCGGCCTCGGTTCAGAGCGCGGGGTGGGGGCTGCCCCTGACCTGACCAAGGGGTGCCTGTCGCCCCGCGTGTTGCGGGGTGCGGGCCGCAGAGGGACGCAAGGTCGAGATCCTCGCGGCCAGGCCGGGTTTCCTGGGCTTGGCCAGCACGGGTCCCCGCGAGGCCAGAGCGGAAGGCCCGCGTGTCCTGCGCGCCCCACCCAACCCCACACGACACTGGCACAGCTACACCCTTGGAAACGGTTTCCGACGCCTCCCCGGGCCTGCTTCTCGGGTGTTTCTAAGAGGCCAGCACGATGACTTCTCGCGCAGCACGTGTGTGCTGTTCAGCCCCGAAGTAACCTGGATTTTCTTTCTCTGAAAGTCTCTAGAAAACGTCCGGAAGAGGCCGCGAGGGCCTGCGGGAGCGGGAAGCCCGCGCTTCAGCCCACGGACGCGGCTCGCCTCACTGCCCCGCCACGCCCGCTCGGAAGCTGGGCGGAAAGCTCTTCTCTTTCCTCTGAAAGGAGCTGAGCGACACTCCGGAGCCCGCGTGGGAGCTCAGGGGGCGCGGCTGCCAGCCCCGCCTCGCGGCCCCGCGCCCCGCGGCCCCTGCACTGGGTTTTAAGAAAAGAAGGACTCGAGCTCAGTACAGACCGGCGCACACATCGCCGGGGAGCGTCGTAGGGACCCAGGCTTTGAAAAAAAATAAACCGGGATAGGTGCGCAGTCGTGCCTCGTTAAAAATACGAAATAAAACCCTTCCTGCGCCGGTGTCAACAGCTGCTGAAGACGTCATCACAGGCGCGGGGGGCCCCGCTGCGGGCGTGGGCCTCGGGGGCGGCCTCGCTCGCGACCCCTAGGGCCACACCCCGCATGTCCTGGGCGTCTTCACTGGGGAGGAGAGGCGCGGGACGCACTGACCTCGGGAAAGCGGGCTCCGCCACCCCTCCCCGCACCGCCTCCCCTCCTGGCCCCGAGGGAAAGGCGAGGTTGGGGGCGTTTGGCTCGGATCCTGCGCGTCTGCAGCTCTGTAGAAAGGCTTCGCTGCGGACTTCATTTTCTCTGGGGCGCGTTGTCCTCACCAGGGGTCCGGGCGCCTCAGGCCTTGGGATGGCGGCGCCCTTCGGGGGGCGTAATGCTGGGCAGGTGGTGTTCCTCTGATGTGGAAATGTGCGTCAGCTCCCGCTGCAAACTGGGGGACTCGTGACTGGCACCACCCCGTCCCTCTTGGGGACAAACCAGAGCAATGAATGGCGGCCGCTCGTCAGGCTGCTGCTGGGCCGTCGGGCCACCCGGCGCTGCGTGGAGCCGAGGGGGCACTAGCTCTGCAGCGCCCGGGGTCCCCGGCCCACTAGCGGTCGCCTGACCCGCCGCGCTGGCAGTTTCCTGAGGGAAGGTCCCCGAGTCCCGCGCTCTTGCAGCGCTGGATGGACTTTCGGGGCTTCTGCCTGGGAAACCCCCCGAGCTGGGGGTTTCCGATGCTCGAGATGAGAGTACCGCGCAGAGCTGGGGCGGCCGAGCAATTGGGGTCCCTCTTGGGCCGCAGAGAAAGGGGGGGTTTGGAGAAGCGTGACTTGCAGTGGCGCGGGAGTTGGGGGCGTGAGGGCTGCGCGGTTCAGAGGGTATTGGCGTTTCCCACCTCTAGAAAACTTCTGCGACACAGAGATGGTGGCCAGCGTGCGCCGAAGCTGGGGACAGGTTCTTTCGCTTCCTCCCTGGGTTTCTGGTGTGGAAACTGGGGGAAGTCGCTTTGGGGACCCGGCGGAGCGTTCAGACGGGTTTTCTGTCCAGTCCTGTGTAGCCCGCGGGGGGAGGTGGCGCCTGGTGGGGCCGAGGCGGGAGTCAGCACCCACCAGGATCAATGTGGGTCCCGGGCGTGGGACCAGACTCCCTGCTGCAGACGCGCCTGGGTTTGTCAGACCCGCTTAAAAGGGGCGGGGAGTGGCTCAGCGGTCTCCCCTCCCCCAGGAGACCCCTGATGTTTGTTTCTTAGGGAAAAAAGTCCTCTTCTCCGGAAACTGCACTCATTGTGAGTGGTTCTCCTGCCGTCCTCAGGCCCAATAGATGCTGTGACACCCGCTGTCAGTAGCCCTGGGAGTGACCGTCATACCCGCGAAGCCTCACCCAGACCCCAGGAGGCCCTTCCCCGCCGCCCTGCCCGCAGGGCTCCAGGCGTCTCCCTGCCCTGCGGCCCACCCCTCCCATCCCACCCTTCTGCCAGGATCTAAGTCCGATTTCCACTGTGCAATGAACAGGGAGGTAAAGAGCCATTTACAAACGTCTGTCTTTATCCCAAAATGCCTTTTGGAAGAAAGTCTGGGTCAACCAACCATGTTTTTAGTCATAATTCCTTTCCGTCAATAAGGGCGGTCGCCCCTTCCTTGAGGAAGAAGCCTGGATTTCAGAATGAAGTCCCTGGGTTCGGTTCACAGCTCCCTCTCCTGAGGAGCCGAGTGGTCCTGGATGAGGCACCTGACCTTTCTGACTCCATCCTTTCATCAGCACGGCCAAGCCCACTAGACTAGCTGCAGAGTCCGGGCCGCAAGTCTATGCTGTCGGGAAAGGCCGCCGTCCTGGGTGTTTGTCTCTTTACCCCTAACTTCACCCGGACTCATCCTCTCAGGAAGCTGACCAGAAGGAAACCCATGACCACCCCGAGGTTCCTGCCATGGTCCTCAGGGGCCAGTGACATCATCCCCAGATGCAACTGTTTACTGTCTTCTGTATTCAGATTATTTGGAGCTTAAAAGTTAAGCATGTCTTTTCTTGCTTATCAAACACACAAAAACACGCCTGAAACTTCCCAAAAGACCAAGAAAAAGCAACCCTCATTAACATGCCTGCTTCTTTCTGTCCGCATGTCCTCCTGGGCGTCCTCTCTTCAGGCTCACACTGGTCATATTTCAGCTCTTCCCCAGGCCCCCAGCACCCGCTGAGGCCACAATGTCCAGTCATCGCCCCCCCCCCCCCCACACACTCCTGAAATTCCTTGAAGCCAACCAGATTTCTCAGAGGAGTTTTTGTTCCAATAAGGAGCAGAGTGAGCAAGTTCAACCCAAAGAAGTAGCTTGATCCTGAGGTAGGTTCTGGACTTGGGGAGCAAGATGTCTGACTGGGAGGAGCTTCCTGGCAGTGGGGGTGGGGGGGGCCTCCAGGTGGGAACCTTCCCAGGGCCCTTCTCTAGCTCAGTCAAGTTCAAGGCTGAAGCCAAGACAACCCCAGGCATTGTGTCTGGGTGGAGGCGTCCAGTGAAAAACCCCTGCCAAGCCTGTTCCCCGCTCCATAAGGCAGTCGCTTGGTTTTGTAAGGGAGGCGCTGAAGATCCTTTCAGTTTGGTCAGGTCAGAGTGGTGGGTGGAGACACGGTTTGGGAGGTGGGCGGGGCAGCAGAGTTAGCTTCACAGCAGCCAGGTCCAAACCTGGGCTTGGGTAACTGGCATGCTAGGGACACTGCAAATTAAGCCGGCGAGAGGTTAGGGTGACACAATGGGCCATGTCACCTTCCACTTCAGGATATTTCCTCTCAGAGTTCCCTGTGGGCACAGAGCGTACTGCAGGGTATCACTGCAGAAAATCAGCCGCCAAAGGTGCTAAGGACCAGACAGCAACTTTATGTCCTGGCATCAACAGTGTCCAGTGTCTGCACTGGGCGTTACGGCCCCTCCCTTTGCTGACACGGCTCCCTGTGGATAATACGCAATGTCGTAGCTCATGTGTATAACATTTTCCACTAGAGCCTTTCATCTGCAGCATCACATGCACTGACTGCAAACCCAAGCATAGTGTGGGCCCGCAGCAGGAGCGCCCATGCTGCTCGCCGCGTGGCTTGGTTCCGACCACACATCTGGCTCTGGCTGACACAGACAAGCACTTCGTTCTCTCTCTCAGATCACTACGGCCTGTCACTCAGTAAACTCACCATGTGGAACACTTAAGGCAGAAACCAGGAGGCTGGACAGTGCACCCCAGAGAGTTACCTAAGGGAGCTGCGGCCTGGGTATGACCCAAGTGCTCTTCCGGGAACCCCCTCTGATGGGTTATCTCGCCACAGGCAGGAGGAAGGAACACTGTCTTAGTGCCACTTTTCTCTTAGTGCAGACAGACATCTGGACACATTTTTCATGGAACCACCAATGTGCATAGAAGAAAACTCGTGCCCAGCTGGGACCCACAGAAGCAGCTTTTTAAATAAACAGGCAGATTTGCTAGTAGGACACATCAGAATTAATGTGGAGTTGGAAATCCTGACTGACCCCCACATACTTGGGCTCAGTCTTGTGAACCATTCAGCACCCCTATCCCATCTCAAAGCTGCTGGGGTTGGGGGAGGGGGGGCGCAGACACTGTACAGCTGCCGCATGGGTTCTGCCCAGTGGGCCTGCCCTGGGCAGCCAGACCCCAGTCCAAGAGGCAACGGCCCTCAGCGCTGGGGTCCGCCCCTCCCACCCAGCAGTTGAGGTGGACGGCCTCACGCTGTCCTCTCTCTCTGTCAGTCATCCGGGGAGTCTGTTCAGCCGGGAGCCCTGGGGATGACCCTCGGAGCCTACCCCTTGAGCGGATGGGTTCTCAGTGCCAGCAGCCGCCTCTGGGTAACTGAGATGCTGAAAACAGGGCCGTCTCACGGCCACCTGCGGGGCTGCAGCACCGGGGGGGATGGGCGAGGAGGCTGCCTGGGCCGGCAAGGGGCGGGGGGCTGCAAACAAGATCCGGAAAGAGGCTGCTTTCACCGGAAAGTTGCCCAGAATTCTGTCACCCCGGGATCTGGCGCCCGGAAGTGCCTGGGCAGGTGTGGGGTGTTGGGGAGGCCGGCGGGGCGCCTGCTCGGTACTTTTCACGGAGGCCCGGCCTCTAGCTGTGGCTCTGGGGTGTGCGGACGCCCGGGGGGCTCCCTGCCCCCTGCAGCCAGCGGGTCACCCGACCCGCAGGGGTGCTTTCCGCTCGGGATGGACGCGCCTGTGCCGCCGCAGAGCCGGTGCGGTGGGGGACGTGCGGTTCCGCGGTGGCGCGAGGAAATGCGAGCGCGCCGCCTCCCACTCCGTGACCCGGTTTAGTCCACCCCGAGGTCTGAGCCACGCGGTGGGCGATCGGCGCGTGTGGTCCCGGGACCCCCTCCCCGCGCGGGCGCGCCCTCGCCGCGCGCGTTCCCGGCCCGAGCGCGCGGAGTGGCGCGCGCGGCCGCCGCCCGGAGGGAGTGGTGGTCAGCGAGAAGGTCCGAAATCGGTTCGCGTCCCTTTCAGCCCCTTATCTGCAGAGCAATCGAGTCCCGCCTGCCAGCCCGAGTGTTCCTTTTCGGAAGTACAGGACCTTTCTTGGTAACCATTTCCTCAACTGATATGCGTGAGGGTGTAGTGGGCCCATAAAAAAGCAATCACTGCACCCACTGGGGTCAGCTGGTTGTCAAGCCAGAAGCGGGAAGAGCCGAAGCCTCGGCTCCTGCAGAGACGGGGCGCAGAGCTCAGGATGGGCCCCGCGATTCGCAGGAAATCCCGGCCGACAGCCCAGGAAAGTGCTACGGGAAGGCCAGGCCTCCGAAGGCCTGGGGGAGAGGCGCAGGCCTCGCTAGGCCGGCGATGCCAGGCCGCTGGCCTCGCTGCCCCTCAGTCCTGCCCTGTTAGGATTAACTGAGTGCATTCTGGCTGTGACACGAGCAAGATGCTGTGACTCTCCCTTTTTTGTTCTTTTCTAAAAATGAAAATTAGTACTTTATGTACTTCTGTTTAGAAAAACAAGACATGGTCATTATTTTGAAAAACAAACAGTATCCCTTAACTTCTAATCCTTAGCTAATGATAGTGAGATTTTTTTTTTTTGCATGACTTTCATTTGCCTGAAAATCAAAAGATCTTCTGTAGTGTCTGCAATGACTGATACCGCACTGCTGTGTGCCTTGAAACTTCTCAAATATTTGAAAGCTATCCATGAAAGTTTGGTCAATGGTCTATCACTCCATATGGTTAACTTGTTTCAAACTGTTCAAATCTTAGCTTATTATTTCTGATTAAAAATTATCAGAAAATATTAGGGATGAAATTGATATATTTTCCTACCTGTTTTAGGCTAATAGACTGACATCCCAAAACAGTGGATCTCATGAATAATATTTGAAGTACCCATTTGCTTTTTTGAACTTCAAAAAAGATAAATGTGTAATATATACATGTGCTTGTGTGCTTTTCATAAGGACACTAGGAAACGCAGTGATTTATAATACGAAATGCATCAGTGAGATTAACTTACGTATATTAACCTGATAGCAAAATATAAAAAGATGATAAATAGAGCAGCTCCTACTTACCAACAGGTGTAAATCCATGCTTTAGAGTCTCTTGTAAATCCCCAGTATCCAAATTAGAAGACATTCTTAGTGAAATTGCAGGTGGTTCTTTGGCTTAAAGCAGAAATCATTGAGCATAAGAAAAAAAATGCAGCTTGTCAAATTTTGTGGCCTTAGGAGGACACATTACACTACAGTGACCCTTAGTGAAAGTTAGGAAAAAGCAAAAGCAAAAAAAAAAAATCCAAGAATTCAGAAAGCTGCAAGCAAGTCTTCCCCTGGACTCTGTACTTTTTCCAGCATTGCTGACCTGCTGTAAACCATGTATCCAGTTTCACGATGGTGTCTAATCTGAAGACTGGAAACTTTTGATAGGCTCGAAGTGATCACATGACACTACGCAGGTTGATAAGAGAACCCTGTTATAAAGTGACAGCAAAAGAGATAAGAACTCTTGGCAGATAGTGGCCAAGAAATGATTAACTCAGAAGTAGAGAGGAGCTATGCCGTACAGAGTGGAAGGCTGAGGGACGCAGGGGTCAGGGGACCAGACTTGCTGGATGGAACTCCAAACCAGCTTAAATCCACTAAGTCGCCTTAGGCTTGTGACATACCCCCTTGATGTCACCACCTCTTTGCATAGGAAAGTCAGACGTAGCTCTCCTGACCTCTGTAAATACTTTCTAGATGATAAGATTGGCAGATATTAATTCTTTAAGTGATGACCAGAGATATGATTGACACTTTGAAACATGGCAGGTAGCACTTCCAAGCGTGTGGTCATTTATTTATTCATGTTTTGTCAACCAGTGTTTTTATCATGCCTAGCAATTAGCCAAGTTGTGAATCTGAGCTTGTTTGTACATTGGCCCGTTGATTAAAAGGGTAGTCTATCTCTTTATCCCAATAAAATAAAACTTCTACTGTGAGGTTAATGCTGACAAAATGATGAATGTATAATACATTTTCCATAATTTTAAAGTTATTCTTTGCTTGAATCTACGGAAAAACCTGGATCACTCTTCACCATGAAAGAACTATTACTCAAATGCCCAACGGTAGTTTTAGGCTCTTGTTGCATATCCCAGTTGTTTTTCAAAATAATAAAATCTGGATTTTTAGAGCAACACATGTCTTTTCCCATATTGTTTTGATTTTGATTTTTGCTTGTTATTATTTGTTTTGATTTTGCTAATGGAACAAACTTTTTTTTTTTCTCCTGATATTCTATTTGGAAAACCCAAAATGTTTATATACAGCACTTTCCCCATCAGAATTGTATTTTGGGGGACAGTATATATATTATAGAGAAGCCAGACAACAGTTTAATAAGGTTTAAATAAGACTTTTGTTTCTCTCTTATAAGAGAAGTTGAGAGATGACAATCCAGGGATGGCACAATTGTCCCTATGAAGTTGTCCAGAACCTGGTTGCTTCTGTTTTATTATCTCCACTCTTGTCCTCATGCTCCAAAATCACTGCTAGAGAGCCAGCCATTGCTACCAGGATGCAGCATGGAGGAAGGGGAGAGAACTCACGCTCCTTTTTAAGGATACTTCCTGAAAGTACTGCATAGAGTACCTTTGCTGACATCTTATGAGCAGAAATTAGACACATACTCACATTTAGCTGCCAGGGAGGCTGGGAAGTAAAGTATTTTAGCGGGGCAAGTAAATATGTATTTTAAACTAAAAAGGATTGGGTGATTATGGTCATCCATGTCAGTTCTTTGCTGTTATTTCTTTCAGTAATCAAAAAATAACATGGCACAATCCTAGAAATATACCTGTGTGTATGTTAACAGGTGTAGCAACTGTTCTCCTAAAAATTATTAGGAACCTCCCCCCCAAATTTTTGCTTATGTGAATTATATCTGTTGTTATTAATTGTATTAGAAGTTAAAATTAGGAAAATAAAAAATAATTATTTGTAAATATAGTAATTTATTTACTGTTATTAAAATAATAACCCCACTACATATTAATTTAAATAACCCTTTTTACATTAAAAGGAACTATTTTCCGAAACAAAGTAATTCATAAACAGCAGCATTTTCACAAATCTTTTTAATGTCTAACTTAATAAAAGACCGCTGGATTTGCGTCTCTGTTTCTGCGCCCAGTCTGTGGTGATATATTGCTTTGGCTGAAGTATATGAGACCATATGATTTTCAATATATGGGGCTAGCAAAGGGGGGGGGAGTATTGTAATAGCTTTTTCAGATAATTCTAGATGTTATTCTGTGACACGGCCCCCAAACTCCGCAAGTGCCATTTCCTAAACATTATTAGCTCACACGTGAAGTCTGAAACCGCATTAGCTCATTTTGTGCTTCAAACGCATCTTCATATAAGCATGATTTTGTTACAGCTTAAACTGGTAGTTTGGGAAATATAGGTTCATCAAATGTGGCCAATTTCCAAATGTTGATGCATTTCATTATACAATATTGAAAATTGTACTCACTAATATTACCGCTCGTCCTGTCAGACACCTTTAAATACTGGGAAGCTGGGGCCGGCCGAGTGGCTCAGTTGGTTAAGAGCTCGCTCAAGAGTTTGAGCTCTGAGCAACAGCGGTTCGAGTCCAGCCCGAGCTGAGCAGCCACTGAGCTGCCAACAGGTAGCAGGATGGCTCAGCTTAAAAAAAAAAAAAATAAATAAATAAAATAAATAAATAAATACTGGGAAGCTGTCAAACACAAGTTCTAAAATCCATATTTCACTTTGAAAGCCTGAATTTTAAAGTTGGAAAAAATTACCATCAGTTTTTTTTTAAATCACCATAAATACCATCATTCTCTTTTTTAAAGTAACAGGTTCACTTCATTCCTATTTGCCTCCAAAACACCCACGTCTAAATAACCGTCGTTTGTCTGTCAGTCATCCTTAAAACATAAAAATGATTTTCCATAAACAGAGCAGCTGGTTCAGCCTTTCCTGGAGTCAGCGCCATCCTTCGGTTTAAGCCCTAATGTTGCTTGAAGACCTCTGATGGCTGTGCCGGTTAAGGGAGAATCTAATTCTGTGTCTGGGCTTGGCTAGCGGGGAGCACTGCGTGCGGCCGTAGCTGTGTCCTTACGAGCAGCTTGTCAGTCCATGCTTACAGCCCGCCTCATCTACTGAACACACCTGTTGATGCTCAGGGCCGAGAAGCCAGCTTTTGAAAGGTTTTTATAAAGCGAAATGGTCCGTTGATTTGGTCTGTTTCAAAAACACACTTTTGTATTTGTGTTTTCATGACATTGGGAGAATGGATGAAATACATTAAAATCGATTATACCTTCTTGTGTTAAATATTATGAGCCATTCCCCGCTGGGATGTTGAAAAGGAGGCATGTTGAGATTTCGTTTGTGAATAGAACATTTTCCGGGCCCCATGTCAGAACCAGGGGGCCCTGTTTCGAACGTGTCCTGAAGCGATTTGTGGAGCCTTGTGGGGTGGGGTGGGGGGGCTGGATACTTACCATAGGAGCCAGGATTTGGCTGCTCTCCTGGCTTTTCATCTTTTGAGACAAATGTCAAGATTATTTTAAAAAATGTACCTCCCTACACCTTGGGGATTCATGGTCAGTTGGTTAGGAGACTGATTTCGGGATAAGCCATGGAAGGTAGACAGTCTAAAACGGGCTGGCTCGCGCAGTGAGAGCTGGTAGACCCCGCTGGCAGTGCGGCCTGGTAAACACGCTGCCTTTCCTTTGAACTTGGAGTTCATGTGTACAGGTAACCAAGCCAGCCTATGTTGCATTAATACCACGTTAGGTATTATTTACTTCCATTAGTGTTTTCTTTGAAATACATAGTGGATTTCAAAATATGATTTTTATTGAAACCAGTGATTTCTTCTCTAATTTGCCATGGAAACTCAGGAGGGACGTATATTTCTGTGGCACATTTTACACCCGTCACTGCTTTGGAATCCATGGGTGTCCTCTTATTCACGCCCGAGTATCAGGCACCCGTTTGTCCGCACTGCCCAGTCCGTAAGGTAGCATCCTCCCTCAGATCCTCCGGACACTGCTGGAGGCCTGCGCATCCTCGCTGACGAGCACGCAGTTTGGTGGGTGAACCCAACCCGGCTTTTAGGGGAGAGACCCACCCTCCTGAAGGGAACTTTGGAAGACACACACATGTTTCCATTTCGTTTTTGACGCCAGTCCTGTCTTGGTCACAGATGCTGTTTGACACCCAATGGAGGATCTTACAGGATGCTGGTAATTTAAAGACTGATCTGCCGCAATTCTCTTCCTTGTGGGATATGGCTAGTAAAACACGTAATGACAAAAACAACTGAATTTCATGCTTTGTTATGTGCTTCTGATGAGACAGGATTATTTCATGAAATGTGCAAAACGTTGTTGAGGCTCGCTAGCATTACCAGATCCCTAATAAGTCCAACAGGAGGTTTTAAACATGTTCCTTGCTGTGTGTCCCTCCATTGCTTTCCCGTGGAGCGGCTGGCCGGCCGAGGAAACATTGCATTAATGAGTTACTTTGGTCTTTTGAAGCTTATCTGTCAGGCGAATTTAATAGAAATAGCTACTCGGTACTTGGTGAGAAATGAACACATTTTTGTGAAAGAGGGGCTGGAGTGAGGTTCACAGGTGACAGGAATACCAGGTGCTCAGAACTCAGCCCGAGCGGTGACAGCTAATGAGCAATTTATGTTCCCACCGTGCTGGGGAAAAACACTACATGAATCACAACCTCAGTTTTTATTAGTTATTTTTCCCAGTCAAGGCACAGTCGAACCATTTCTTTTTGGCAAGTGTGGGCTTTTTCCATCCCAGCGTTCTTTGTTAAGAACCATCACGCCCCCACGCAGCTCCCCAGATACCTCCACACAGCACTCTTACGATGACTCACATTACAGGGATACATGTGGATAGTGATAAAGCATTATTTGCTCACTGATTCCCAGAAAAGATTTGTAAATGATTGACAGATAACTAATGAGTGCAAAGCATCTTTGCCAAAATCCAAAAGGGCTTCCACAGTGTCACCGGAACCCATGTTGCACGGGGCTGGTGGCGCTGTTAATGACTTACCTTTCCTGTCAGCTTCCTGGGTCCACACTTCCAAGAGCTGAAGACATGTCAGCGAGGAGCTGGGTCCCGTAATGCTGGATTTCTGGTGGGCTCCGTGCGTGAGAATACACTAGAAGGACCCTTCCAGTCCACGTGTAACCTGGGCTTGCTAAGAACAAGCACCCTCAATTACTCACCACCCTGATGGCACCAGATATTGGGGAGTTTATAGAAGGCTGATAAATACTGAACCAGTAAGTTCCTGCCAAACCATTGCTTAACGTTGGCTGTCCCCTCAGTAACAAAGGTGTTAGTCACTGA